AAAAAAAAAAAAAAAAAAAAAAAAAAGAAAAAAAACTATAAGAACGAACTCTATAAAATTGTTCATAACAAATAATCTGATGAATTAATTAATTGCAGGTCTCATATCCTCAACTCCAGTTAACAATGCCGCCTCTCAAACGTATGAATTCCTAAACTGACTCGCTCCACTCCCAAAACCCGTGCCAGTGGGCCCACCATTTCTCGTATTCCCCACGTGACCATTTCTCATCCGAACCCAAGGTGGGGCCGCCTTAGCATGATTCCACTTTTGCTGCCTAAAGAATTTCCTTCCCAAACTATGTGAGCTCCCATCACGTTCGAAATCTGGGCCCATAAGAGGAGAATTCATCTCGGGCAGGCCCATACCATTTTCATTCGTACGTTTATGCCCTGAAAGATGACCAGCAGCGCAATCATCACCACTACTGTTATTAACTCGTTCATATTTTTCTGCAGGTTGAGTGAAAATGGGCCCAGATTGAGAGCCCATCATTTGTGGGCCCACTTTCTTGTAGGTAGGCAAAGGAGGATATGGGTGGAAAGGCAAACCCGGGAGCACTTTCAAGCTCATGATATTTTCAGCTTCATGCACGCCTAATTGCAGCAACACGGAATAGGGAATTCCGTAGGACAGAGGCAAACTCGCTGCGAATTTCGGCTGCAAATTTCCCAAAACGGTACCAAATGGAGGAGCGGCGGCTAAAGAACCGTTCACTTGATCTTTAGGCTTCTTACATGGAGACGAAAATCCAGGAGGGGCAGAATCGTCAGTATGCGGGGATGAGAAGCCCGGAAGAGGGGTAGAATCGTAATTATGAGGTGGGGGGGTGTCCCATCGGCTCTTACGTTTTCGTACTCCTGTTTTGGTAGTTCCATTATTATTGTTATCGGAATTCATGGGGGTTGGATAGTCAACAACAACGCCAGATGATGATGCAGCAATAGGTTCTTCAGATTTTTCGATTCGAGTGTTTGGGTGATCTTGTGATGAAGAAGCTGATGGTGGCCTGCCGTGAACTGAATAGTGAGGAAATTCAATTTTGGCATTGTCTGGCTCCATGAAACATTTTCGTCTTAGGTGTCTTGGGATCCATCTGTCACGGAAGTTACGTGCAATTTGATGGACCTGAGAGAGGTATGGATAAAATTTGAGAATTTTCAGACTGAGTATTTTTTTTTTAAAATAATTTAGTGACAGGAAAAAAGTGTATTTTTTCTCTACTTGAACAGTGAAGAGAAGCAAAATGCAATTTCTTGATAATCCAGAACAGTAGCTAAACTAATTTTGTTAAAATTACTGTAAACAAGAAATCAATAATTTTTAGAATAATGAAAATATCGGATGCAACCAAGATTTTGATCAAGCTGAGTTTTATTCTTTTGTCTATTGACAGCAAAGTGTATGGGCAGTACTATGCCTACTGAACATGTGACCTTAGAAGTGACTGATTCCACAATTAAATGGAGAAGGGGTTGTCTTGCATTACCTGCCTGTCACCGTGATCCGTCAGCGTCAATATAGAATCTCGAAAACTGCAAGCAGAGAATTAGATGAATTTTGAGGACAACATACATGCAAAAGAAGCAAATGATCAATCATTTAAGATGCAGTCTCACTAGTCAAGAAGCCAGGGAAAAAAAAGGCCAAATGATAGCAGACTTGCAATGCAAGAATCAAGTGAAATTCAGTGTTGCAATAGTAACTGTTATTCATGTAACCATATTTTGATTCATGGTAATAATTAAAATCACGGGACACATCTCACTTCAATTTGTTCCATCTATACTTAGTCTGTACCTCAAAAGTTAATGGATAAAGAAGCTCTTTCAACGCAGAGTATGTTACAAACACATTTTGAATTCCGGTATCTAATTGAGACAATAACCTTGATGTCCTCAATTATAAAGTTCTTAAATAACAGACTGATATGCTCATGCATATGTACTACGTGGCGTAACTCCCTCTTTCTAATATTCATTTCTTCAGTTTTGTTTGTTTAGACTTTTATTTAGCCGACTGGGTCATCACACTATCTTTATAGTATTCAGATTTCGCCAGCTTTCACCAGCCCTCAAATTTGCCAGGGTACACACTTCAGCAAGATAGCCACATGAAAGTCATACCTTCACACACTTGCATCTAGCATGAACCGAGTACAGTTTATACATTGGGCAAAGTGTGACTCATTACATGCGAATGATACTACTAACATGAAACCAAAAGTATACGAATATAAGGTTAAGAGATAACTAATAAGCTCCTCATAAATTATTGCAGTACTGATTATTGCACATGCACGTGACAAGTTTGGGGATACCTTCTTCATTCATATAAAAATGATCAAAAAATCATAGAGCAACAGTAACAGTAATGGATTTTCTTTTCACCTCTCCACTCCAGGACAAGGTGGACCTCCAGTTATGTGCTCTAGGTTAAGAATCTCCCTTGTTGCCAAATACTCAAGCACCTACGTGAAAACAATAAGTGAACAGATGTTAACTATTTCAACTATTGCTATTTTCTAACATTTTAACTTTTAATTCAACAACATTCTTCTTTTAAAACTATAATTTGAAATAATGCTCCATATATAATAGGTTAAATAAGCAACTCATTAGGAAACTGTAGTTTCACAAGAAATAACGGCTCATTTAAGTCACCTTAAGAAGCTTGCGCAGAATTGGGGTTTTGTTGAACTCCTTTCTGTATCGCTTCATTATGTTGTGCAACATTTGCAAACCTATAGACCCCAAATTCAACTTGTCAGCAAAACAAAATGTGATCTAAACATATTTTGGCAACAAAGCACTAAATAATTACCATTCTTGTTAATTATATCAACCAGAACTGTCCTAGACTTGGTCTTCAAGAGTGCATCCAAGATCATCGAGAGGTCCCGATTACTTCAAAATTCAAACACATCAAGCATCAGACAAGTTTATTTATTCTCTTATACTTATGCCCGTGGGTGGGTAGGGTGGGGTAGGGGAGCATATCCAGACATACCTCTGAATAGCTTCACCATGACCGCTAGTCCCTGAGTTAGCTGTTAGAAATAGAAGCTTCAAGTAACCTCTTGATGCATCCTGCTAAAATATAAAGGAAATTTAGACATGGAACACAAAATAGGATCAAGAGCATAAGTAGCAACCATAATATCAATACAAGCAAACATTATCAGCCATGCATATTGGATGTTATTACAAAAAATTGGGTGGCATCAATAATCAAGACCTGTTTGCTTCAATATGCAGAAACAAAATGACATCAGAGGCCTTGCAAGAAAAACAAAAAGTCACAGAACATGAAAAATATAATACTTACTTTTCGCTTACTTATTCCCCCCTCAGTGTCTAGCAACTCATTCAGTTTCTTCTCAACTACAATCCATTAAGTTAAATTGTTTCAGTAAAAGCATTTTACCACAAAAGAAAGCACGTACGGAACAGCTGACGGTTTACCTGTTTCGACATGATTGTTTAAGGTGACATCCGGTAAACTTTTAGATTTGTGATTTGCTGCATTTAATTTATCCAAATCCGGACTGAATTTTCCATTCACAGGATTTGATTTAGGCTTCTCTTTCTTAATTGAAGATGGCAAATGACTCTTGACAGCAAAACCAGGCTTCACTAACTCCTTTCCTCCGGAAATAGCCTTACATTCGGTTGTATTAAGCTGCACTTTTCTAGTCAATGCATTGGTTGTTACCTCCTTTCTTGGTGTATGCTGAGCTGAAGATAATGCTTTGTTCATAACATCTGGTTGTAAAGAAACATCCACAAGTTGGGCCCCGCCAGCTTCAACATTTGAAACGGCTGGTTCAGAAATACTCAAAGACTCTTCTTGATCTTTCTTAGCATCCAATAGCTCAACATCAACATTAGATTTAGAAGCAAAATCATTGCTAAATGATTCGTCAGGTTTATCATCTTGAACGATGTCAGCTACCTGCCGAGCAGTTGACATATTAAAGGATCCATCACTGCAAGCAGAACTAATTGCCACCTTTCCAACTAAAGTTTCTGAAAAGATATTCTCTGATTGAGCAACAACATTAAGCTGCTTTTTCCTTCGATCTCTTTTTTCAGGTGGTTCAATGATAGTTTC